AAATGTGGTCTGAGCTGCACATGTGTGGCTCAGATCACATTACTCGTTGACTGCTAGGGTCTCTTCTGTTTTAAAAACCTTGCCTGTCAGTGGACTTTACTTTACAACATTTAACTACCACTTTAAACTATTTTGTTTGTTAAAGTGATTCTAAAGGATTATTTTATGTTAACCGCTTCCCGACCTCCCTATAGCAGAATTCTGCTACAGGGCAGCAGGGCTGCGCAAAATCACGTATATATATACATATATATATATATATATATATATATATATATATACTGTGTGTGATTTTGCATTTCCGGGTAGGGGGCACGCGTCTGCCACCCTATCCGCGCTTCCATTGTTGACTACAGCTGTCGATGATCGCTTTGCGGACAGAGATTCCCCGCCGGCACCTGGTGATCGCTGAGATACACTTACAGGGGAGAGGTCTGTATGAAAATAATACAGATCACTCCCCTGTCAGCATCAGCATGCTGCTTTGTATTGCTCTGCATAGCAGAGCAATACAAAGCAGCATGTTTACATAGTAAAACACACAGGCCACATAGTACAACAGCACACAGTTAACCCTTTGATTGCCCATGATGTTAACTCCTTCCTGCCCAGTGTCATTAGTGCAGTGTCAGTGCTTTTTATTAGCACTGATCATTGTATTAGTGTCACCGGGGATGTCAGTGGCTATTAGTCAGTTACCACCAGTGTCAGAATGCCCGCCGCAGTCCTGCAGTCCCACTATAAGTCGCTTATCGCCACCATTACTAGTATAAAAAAAATGTAAGTATATATACCGCCATTTATATACACTATAACTTTCACATAAACCAATTAATTTACACGTATTGGGATTTTTTTTAGCAAAGACATGGGGCAGAATACACTTTGGCCTAAATTTATGATGAAATTTGATTTTTTTTTACATTTTTTACTGGATATGTTTTATAGCAAAAAGTCAAAAAAATTTTTTTTTTTTCAAAATTGTTGCTCTTTTTTTTGCACAGAAAACAAAAAACTCACGGACGATCAAATACCACTGAAAGAAAGTTCCATTTATGGGAAAAAAGGACATAAATTTCATTTGGATGCAGCATTGCATGACCGCACAATTGTCAGTTAAAGTAACGCAGTGCCGAAACGCAAGAAATGTCCTGGTCAGGAAGGGGGGTAAATCCTCTGGAGGGCAAGTGGTTAAAGAAAAAATAACAAACATATCTATACTTACCTGCTGTGTGCAGCGGTTTTGCACAGAGAAGCCCGGATCCTCCTCTTCTTGGGTCCCTTGCTGGTGTTCCTGGCCCCTTTCTCCTGTTGGGAGCTTGCTGTGGGGGCACCTGCTGCTCCGTGTGTCCATTCACACACAGAGCTGCAGCTCAGCCTGCCCCCTCTCTCTTCTCATTGGCTCACTGGCTGTGATTGACAGCAGTCGGAGCCAAAGGATCCCGCTTCTGTGTCAGCCAAAGAGAAGAGGGAGTCCCGGGATAGCTGAGACTCCAGTGCACATCGTTGGATTAAGAGGGGGCTTAGGTGTGTATTAGGGGGGGCTGCACAGAGGTTTTTTTACCTTCATACATAGGATGAAATGGAGGTAAAAAAAACTTGAGCCTTTAGAACCATTTTAATGATTATGACACATTAGACATATATTTCCACATTTCCCATTTAATAAAAGCACAAAACTGAAAAAAAAAAAACCCTTCATTTAATTTGTAAATAACTTTGCAATTCTTTGTAACAGAATCATAATTTTGGTGTGATTTTAAACAACAAATTGCAGAATAAAATGTGCAATAACACTATTTCATTTAAATTTAACACTGCTAAAAAAAAAAAAGTGCATTTTGTGGAGTTTTGTTTCGTTCTATTGTCTAAGGACTGGGGGAAAAAATCATTGTTGGAAGACAATATCATGAAAAGAAAGCCTTGTTTGTCTGTAAAAAACAATATATGTACAGCATTGCCTTGTTATCTTTAGTAATGATGAAGTTATTGCTGAATAAACAGGCCCATAGCAGGAATGTAAAGATTGCTCTGGTCTATGGGGGGGAATAGGTGTTAGAAGTGGTTAAGCTATTGTATTCTGTAAACAAAAGGCATTTTCATCAAAGAAACAGAGAGCCATGCGAGGCTCCATATGATGGGTCAAATGCCATGAATGCTAAATATTATTCACCACTTAAGCTCCGGAAGAATTTACCCCCTTCATGACCAGGCCATTTTTTGCTATTTGGCACTGTGATACTTTAACTGGCAATTGTATGGTCATGCAATACTGTATCCAAATTAAATTTCTCTAATTTTTTTCATACTAATAGAGATTTCTTTTGGTGATATTTGATCACCATTTGTTTTTTTTTTTCTTAACCACTTGCCTACCAGGAACTTTTACCCCCTTCCTGCCCAGACCAATTTTCAGCTTTCAGCGCTATCACACTTTGAATGACAATTGCACAGTCATGTAATCTTGTACCCAAACTAAATTTTTATCTTTTTTTTGAGACAAGTAGAGCTTTCTTCATGTGGTATTCAATCACCACTGGGGTGTTTATTTTTTGCTAAACAAACTAAAAAATACCAAAACTTTAGAAAAAAAATTTTTTTCTTAGTTTCTGTTATAAAGTTTTGTAAATAAGTAATTTTTCTCCTTCACTGATGGGCTCTGGTGAGGAGTCACTGCTGGGCACTGATGGGGACTGATGAGGCTCCACTGATGGGCACTGATGAGGCGGCACTGATAGGTGGCACTGACGGGCGCTGTTAGGCTGCACTGATGGGCGGCACTGTTAGGTGGCACTGATGGGCACTGTTAGGTGGCACTGATGGGCGGCACTGATGGGCACTGTTAGGTGGCACTGATGGGCACTGATAGGCAGCAGTGACGGGCACTGTTAGGCTGCACTGATGGGTGACACTGATGGGCACTGTTAGGTGGCACTGATGGGCACTGTTAGGCAGCACTGATGGGCAATGTTAGGTGGCACTGATGGGCAGCACTGATGGGCAGCACTGATAGGTGGCACTGATTCAACTGAGGGGCACTGATTGCCAGCACTGATTGCCAGCACAGATGGGCACTATTGGCCGCACTGATGGGGCTACACTGATCACAGGACTCTGGTGATCAGTGCCCTGATGATCAGTGTAGATGTCCCCCTGCGAAATGCCACTTACTGGATCTCCTCTCCTCACGCGCTGTAAACGTGAAGAGAAGACTGCCGATAACTGGCATTTCCTATTTACCCAGTGATCAACTGTGATTGGACACAGCTGGTCACATGGTAAAAGCAGCTGTGATTGGCCCGTTCCTTAGTCGTGTGATCAGCTGTGTCCAAAGGACACAGCGATCACAGATTGCATGCAGTGCGTGCCCCAGGGGGCGCGCAGGGGCTGCGGTTCTGATCCCATAGCTAGCTGATCACACTGTAGCCATCTTTTGGCTATAGCACAATCCGGAACTGGTTAATAAGAAAAAAAAAGACTGAATTGTATCGGCATCCCGGGCCAGTATCCAAATATATATGACATATAGGAAACCACACACAGGGCTGTGGTTGGATGCTTCCTGAAGTCATCAGGTGGTTCAGGAACCAAAACTTGCCCTGCCAGGGAACAGGACATGATGAAAAGGTTTTGTTAAGAAAAGCAACAAAAGGGGGCTTTCCTGTATGTCATTGTGGGTGCTGGCCTTAGCGCTCGCCCTGGACGCCAATGCATACAAACTACCCTTTAAGTGGATGAGGTCCCCATTATTTCTATGACTTTTTTACTTCTTCATACATGTGAGGGCTATATTTATGGATTATTAACCCCTTGACGCCGACCTTGTGCAAATATGCGGCCTCTCAGCGGCTGGGCCTTGACGCCAAGCGGCCGCATAGTTGCGCACCATTTGAAAACACATATGTGCTGAGAGCACGCGCCCTGCACACTCCCAGCACATATGTCGGTGTCAAGGAAAGGTCTCCCCTTGCTATCGGGACCTTTTGCGATCATGTGACCGCCATAGCAGCGTCGTCCCCCCGCCTCGCCTCCTTGCGTCTGAAACCCCTTAAAGGGCCGTGAGGCGCTGGCTTGAAGAGGTAACTACTTTTAATACTGCACTTAGGGGCAGCCCCTTATGCTCTTTTTTATTTCTGCAGAGATACATTCCAGTCTCTTGGCGGAGATGCCTACAGGTGTTTCTTAAGGACTTTTAGTAACCTTATGGACTGTTTATACGGACTTATCATTGCTTTATTGTTGATTTGCTGTATTCCACATTGTTCTTTACTTTTGGTTTGCGCCATATGCTAAGTGTATATTTACCCCCCTTCACAGAGCACACAGGAACACAGCTGAGGCTGTTAATCTGCTGGAAGTCCCTCCCCTGTCACCATTTTCTATTGGTGTCAGGAAAACTTGTCAGAAGTGATTCATGAGGAACGAAGCAGCAGACAGAAATGACACTTAGGGCTCATGTACACTGCAGCTGATAAGCTCACGTTCATCGTTTTTTTGAGCAGCCCCTGAACTCACCGTAATGTTTTCCTATGTGTCCATGTACATATCAGTCGTTTACAGGCATTTGAGTTTACAATTGTTTTTTTTGAACGCAGAAAACTTGCGTTCAGTAGCTGATTTTATCAGCGTTTCACACACAAAACACTTGTAAACGCCGCTAAACGCGGCAAATCGCGTTTATAAGCGTTTGCGTCTGAAATTTTTTTTTAACTCTTCCAGTTTTCAATGCTGTTGAGAGCCTTTTTTCATCATGAAAAATGCATGCAAAGCATGTTCAAGGTACTCAAATGGATAAAACACTGAACACAGGATGTTTCTACCAAGCTTGTCACACATTGTAATCACCAATTCACACCTCAGACCTCTCCCACCCTTGGAAACAAAAGATATGTTAACGGGTGGACTGACAACTCATGGGGCCCCCAGGCAATAGGGGATCATGGGGCCCCTGTGTCCTTGCCCAAAATCAAAAAAACCTATGAAAAAGGTACCAGGGGCATCTCATGGGACCCCCTACTGACCCCGGGCCTTCGGGCAGTGCCCGAGTTTCCAATTGGTCAGTCCGCCCCTGAATTTTAATGACCATTCACACCTCAAATTCCTCATGAAGACCCCCCTGCCAGGTGGCTTTAATGTCTCCCTCCACCAGACACCTTTCCCACCCTTGGAAACAAAAGAAATGTTAATGAGCAACTCACACCTAGTTAATGTCAACACATACTGCTGTCTCTGCTTCTACTCTCTGTATTTCTCTGAAACAGTCTGAAATAGTTAATAATTTACCACTTTTCAGTGCATTCTGGGCATTTGGGAGGTTCTCCTGTGCTTATCTTTAAAAAACGCTTCCAAACGCAAACATGTTATGCTAAAAAGACATTTTTTAACCTATGTTTTCCAGCAGTCAGTTTCCATCGTTTAGAAGTTTCCCGTGTACATGGGGCCTTAGTGCTCTGGATTGTGTCACGTACACACTATAGGGGGATGTGCTTTGTTCATATTTCATGTCTGAGGTTTACAACCACTTTAATGCAACGTACACTAGGACGGAGATCTCACCACCATCGTATCAGAGGTCTATACAAAGACAGAGAACGATCTGAGCTGTCAGCATCTACCCAAAAGCTGAAATAAATGCAGCCTGGATTCGGGCCCGCCTAACCACGGCTTCTCTGCGTTCAAAGGTTGAGCACAGAGCCATCTTAATACTTCTCATTAAAATAACTTATCTATATTTAGCCTTTGAGCTGATGGCATAATTCATTCTACTGCGAGCCACTCACATTTCCATAAGGAAATCATTAAACCCTAAAATGTTCTTAAATGGTTAATGCTGAAATCCATCAGGGTAATGCAGGGATAAACAGATCAATACACAAACACATGCACAGTGTAATAACAAGACTTTTCTCATACAATGAACAAACCTTTTCTGTTTCCTTTGTGTTATATCCAATATACAACAATCTGTTTCTCTCAGTGGAGTAGGGAAACTGGCAAGGATTTACTGAGAGTAATGCAAAAGAGCTAGCATACAAATGCAAAAGTCATTTGCCTCTGCTTGTGAACAGATTAACAAAAGCAACTAAACCCCTGGAAAAAAAAAAGTGTCTGTCTAAGCCCTTAAAGGGAACCTGTGATTTGGTCATGCAGGGTGTTCTTTCTCACTTATGTATTTTTCCTATGTTGTATTGAATCGTATTAGATTACTATTGTTCTGTAGGTGTGTGTGGTTTGTTTGGTTCCAAATCAAATTTCAGACGAATTTTGATGTTATTCGGATCAGAATCCTGAATTAAAAAAATAATTAATACAAATGAAGCTGAAATATCGAAACGATATTCGGACAAAATTCGATTTGAAAACAAAATTCGAATTTGAAAACAAAATTGAACAAACATTCAAAAACCAATTTAAAGCAGAGCTCCATCCAAAAAGGGAAGTTCCACTTTAAGGAATGGTCCCCCACTTCCCAATAACCACCTCCCGTTCTGCCAATGTATATAAACGGCCGGACAGTGGCAGTGCGGGGCCAGGAGGCCGTTTATAAACGGTCTCCCCGCACCCTGCTTGTGCGTGCTCCCTGAGAGCTCGCAGCACCGCGATCCGGTGCCTGCTGTGTCCTCCGGACACAGTGAAATACCAATCGTCGGACGGGACCTCTCTGCGAGATCCCAATCATGTGATTACTAATTGGCTAATCAGTGATCACATGCAGAGTAGTAAGCAAGACGTCACTTCTGACATCGTTGCTTGCTACGTGTGAAATCGGTCACATGGTACAAGGCTATTCACAACAACCCTTGTACCATGTGACAAGCTGTGACCAATCACAGCTCACACAGTATTTCTCAATGGCTGCAAGAATGCAGCTAGAGAGAAGGAGAAATTATTGTTTTTACAGCCTTTATGGGTGTAAAAGCAATCAGTGTACAAAAAAAAATCTTCATCACCCCCCACAAGTAGTACAGTGTCACCATGTTAGTACTTCGCAGAGACAGGGCATAGGAAAGTCATTGTCTTCTTACACTTCAAAGGACACAAAAATACATCCTCTGTATGGCATTTAGCTGAAGTAAAATAGAGTGGGATTCAACTTGTGTGTCATACTGAAGAGGTTAGGCAGAGTTCCAGCCACCGCCATCTCCCCAAAAAATAAAACATAAAAGTCAGCAGCTACAAATACTGTGCCTGCTGACTTTTAATAATAGGGCCCTGTCCAGGGATCTGTCCTCACCCCAAGCCCATTCTTCAGTTGGCTGGTTCTGGCACCCCCATCTTAACTAAATGAAACTGGCCACCGGGCTCCTATAGTGTGCTGCACTGTGTGAATGGGCTGCAGTCCTCTAGGACCTTGGAAGTGTCCCAGAGGACTGTGGGGGACTGTGGGGGACTGTGGGGGGGGGGGTACTTCTGGCTTTGTTTTCTGTGGCAAACTCAACTAGAAGTGGGAGTGGGTACCTATCAAAACCAGGTACCTGCTCCCCCCAAAAGGTGCTAAATGTGGCAGCGGACAGGGGGAGAAGACACTTTATAGTGTGGACAGGGCACTTTATGGTGTGGACAGAGCACTTAATGGTGTGGACAGAGCATTTATGGTGTGGACAAAGCACTTTATGGTGTGGACAGAGCATTTATGGTGTGGACAGAGCACTTTATGGTGTGGACAGAGCATTTATGGTGTGGACAGGGCACTTTATGGTGTGGACAGAGCATTTATGGTGTGGACAGAGCATTTATGGTGTGGACAGGGCACTTTATGGTGTGGACAGGGCACTTTATGGTGTGGACAGGGCACTTTATGGTGTGGACAGAGCATTTATGGTGTGGACAGGGCACTTTATGGTGTGGACAGGGCACTTTATGGTGTGGACAGAGCACTTTATGGTGTGGACAGGGCACTTTATGGTGTGGACAGAGCACTTTATGGTGTGGACAGAGCACTTTATGGTGTGGACAGGGCACTTTATGGTGTGGACAGGCACTTTATGGTGTGGACAGAGCACTTTATGGTGTGGACAGAGCACTTTATGGTGTGACAAGGCACCTAGAAAACAATGGTTTTCTGTGTGCCCTTGCAGAGAGATGCTTTTTCTAGTGCAGCAAAGTAAAAGTCTCTGTACATAGAGGTGTATAGCTGCTCATCTGTCAAAACTGAATGTATGTATGTTCCATGTGAAAGGGTAAAATCAAAAGTTCCCAGGTTATATACTCTCCGGCTACATTCACACTAATGCGGTGCTGTATATCGCATGTGATTCGCACAGCAACCGCACTGCATTCATGTTCAAATCACATGCGATTTGTGTGCAGTGCAATTGAAGCCATACATTTTGTATGGCTCAAATCGCACCGCACCACCCTTTTTTGGGTCAGCACTAGAATCGTTTAGCATGGGTATTCACACCTATGCAATCCGATTCTGCACACCGCACCACGGTTTGTGGACCGATTTCGGGTTGTTGTTAATGTAACATACACTCCTGCATTGATTCGCATGAACTGGGTGCAAATCTGATGCGGTGTGGAATTTGCACAGAAATCGCTGAAAATTCTGCACCGCATCAGTGTGAACCCAGCCTCCACATCAAATCTGCGAATGTGCAAAGTACCACATTATAGCCACTAGATGGAGCCGAGGAGTACCCTTGTTTTCAAATATTGTCAGTGCCATCTAGTGACCACAATGCGGTATTGTCCCCATTCACACATTCTCAATCTGGAGAGAATATAGCTTCAGAACATTCATTTTTCCCCATTCACAAAGCACACATTTACTTGCAGTTTGCGATGGACAGACAACTATGCAATTTTTTTTTATAAATACACCCCTTAGCTTGAGCAAGCCCTTAGTTTTTGGAAGATGATGTGGAGTTATCTTACCCATCAATATCTTATATCTCTCTGGGATCATATTAGTGAGATATCTGCACCTATTTCTCAACACGTTACATGAGCTGTGCTCATTAGGAGCGCTCCCCCCAACTTTTGTTAATTTCGTTTATATTATGGAGAATATTGGAGAAGTCAGGCCACAAAAAGATGAATGGTAACACCCAAAACTCCCAGGTAGACAGGAATTTTACCAGGGAGGTCTTGCTGTCGGAGACATACAAGAAGCCCAACCTAAAGGACATCACTTTGGGTGGACTGACCCTTTAACACACAGTATTTATCTGCAGATTACATTTAAATGTATTTATTTAAAAAAAAATAAAAATAAAAAAAAAGCCTACATATGTTTAAGTAATCCATACATGTGTATTCATTTTCTGTTGGCTTTAATATATTGGAGTGTTTTCCCCTTGTACAGTTTATAAAAATGATTGTATACGGTGCTCACAATACTGCGTGCTGAACCATCAAAGCCTCTTCTGGTAATTTCATCCCACCTCATTTCCTGCATCTTGCCGTCAAAGGCACATGGGACATTCTGCACTCCTGCAATATCCTGCACGCCCCTTACTGAAGGTAAAACGATATTCCGAGAATTTTCTCCCATGATTTTTTTTTTTGTTGTGGAAGTAGAACATATAGCACTACAGCTGTCCAATTATTGAACAAAGGACTGTTTTTGTTGCCACATATTAACCAATCAAAATAAAAAGAGACCTGACATACATGGAGGCTGCCATTTGCTTACCTCCTTTTGAAAATGCAGATTGCCTGGCTGTCATGCTGACTTTCCTGCTTTAAGAGCTTGAATCACTAACCCAGGGAATACAGACAAGGTCTGTTCTCTGACTTTTCTGATCTGCATACTCGATCCTGGTCAGTGACTCAGAAAGTATTGAAGATGGTGGGTCAGTCAGGCTAGCATTTTCAGAAGGAGGAAATGTCTGGCAGCCCCCCTAATTTCTGATAAGACAGGTTTACTTTAAGCCCTGGTTCACACTGATGCGGTGCGGAATTCGCACCCCAGAATTGCATTGTTCATGTGAACCACTGCGAGTGTGTATGTTAACAATTCCGTAAAACGCAGTGCGATGTGCAGAATCGGATCGCATAGCTGTGATCTGATCCAATTCTAGTGGGGACCCAAAAAAGGGTCCTGCACGTTTTTTATGCGGCTGCGGTGCGAATAGAGCCATACAAAATGTATGGCTCCAATTGCACCACACACAAATCGCATGTGATTTGCACAGTAATGTGGTGCAGTTTCTGTGCAAATCACATGCGATATACCGCACTTCATATATGTGAACCCAGGCTCTGGGCTTGTTCACACTTGACTCAAA